TAAAGTCATATTTGGCATATAGTTGATTTTTTACAGTCGTTAGTGCATATTATTTCATAAAAATATTTTTTAGACAAATATTTGAAAAGTTTCTTCCGATTTTTGATATCTTGTTCCAATCGTCCAATATCGCATGGTAAATTATAACGGTTTTTTAGATTTTTTATTGATTAATTATTTAGCTAATTAATAAAAATATCGAAAATCGGGCTTCTTACGATTGTAAAACAAGTTCTACTCTACAATTTTTATAATAGGTATTTTTACTGTAAGCCACTTTAATAAGCCGTATTACTTGAATTACGAAACCATGGTTTTATGCCATATTTTGTCTACTAGTGCGCCCTCTTAAGTTGGAAAACATAAAAAATACACTTATAAAATATATATTACTAAATTATGTCAAAATGAAAAATCTAATATTTAATTCCAAATGTTTTCATTGTTGGTGCTGAATAAGGGTGTACACAAATTAGACAAAAATGACTACCTAATTAAAATTTATAAAGATGACAAAGCTATTTGAACTTCACAAGTATTAATTTTATTTTTTATTTTATTAATTTTGACTGTTAAATATATAAAAATAAAAAGGAATAAAATACTTTTAAAATGTATGGATTTATTCTAATTTTAAAATTTGGTCATGTTTTTTTTACATAATGCATATTTTGAGTTCATAATTTAAAAATGTGAAGGCATATAAATGCATATTTTCGAACTTTTAAGTGCATATTTTGACAATTTTTAGTGCATGAATGCATGCTTATTTATGCATTTTTTAGTGCATGAAGTTACGAGCCCTGCTTATCACTATATAGGAATACATATATTATATAGCTATATATAATATGTTTATGTTATTTCTTAAGATTTCTTTTAATTTTAATTATAAGTGTCTATACATTTAATGTATTACCGGTTAATATTTAGTTTTTACTTAACAGCTTGTATATCTATAAAAGCTTAATGGCTATATTATATATTTTTATATGAAAAAATTCATTAAAGCATATCTTTAATTATTTTTTCTACTCTCATCTACATGTAATATATATGTTCCTATTAAAAATAATACCCAATGGTCATTGTTGCAGTGTTTAATTAATAAAAAATAATAATTATATGTCCCACTATGTAATATATTAATATATAGTCTATATATGCACTATCTCACAGCTGTCAACTATATAGTTGACAAATCATTAAATTAGAGCTCATTCTATGGTGCTGGCATCATGAGTTTGGCTGAGTGCGATATTTATAGCTTCAAATTGCTACCTTAACTATTGTAAAGTTTAATATAAGTTCAGTGTGCTGCACTGTGCAGTCATCGCTCCTCATTTGATTATAACATCATCTTCAAATCTGTCCAATCCACTCTACCTATATAGGTACATTATATTATACATTCTACACTATATATTATATACTCTTATTATTAGTGGCTATATGTTGACTACAAAAATCTATATAATAAAATAGCTAATACAGTCTATCTGCAGTATACCCCGATATATACTATAGTTCCTACTTCCTTACTCTTTCTGAAAGAAACCTCGCCTTCCTTGCACAATAGTATAGGTACAAGAATTGGGATGTGAAAATAAATTAATCAAAATCTATACTGCTCTTTCATTCTTATATTATCAGAAAAAATGCACCTTTATAGTCTATAGATCTTATGTATAATAAACTAATAGTTTCTAAAAGTTACAACTCCGCAATGGAACAGTTTATTACTTATAGACTACCTATATATAGGTATTCCCAAAGGTGCAGGGTATATTAACTAGTTAAAAAGTTAATGTTAAGTTAAATTTTTTATAACTTTTAACTTAACTAGGTAGGTAGTTATTAAATTTTCTAACGAATATATGAATTTAACGAGTTTAATTGACAGTTAAAATACCTTAGCTTTCCTCAGTCGATTTAAAAATAATCCATCAAATTGAAATTGTTTTGAAATTTTCAGTTTTATTGTTTTATACCTACTAAAATATTAATATTCAAATTAAAACAACCCCCAATATAATAAACATATCTGTCATTTTTCTTTTTGTACATAGATATTTTAGTAGATGAGATACCCAGGTCCCAGACATAATATTATATAATGACTTTAAATTGCTAATTTTAAACACTGTGCAGTACCGTTAAGGCGTTAAAGTTTAGTAAAATTTTTTATTACAATTTAGGAAATTAGAAAGAAAGCAGCAATCCTCATGCACATACTAATTAAAAAAAAAAATAGATTAACATAATTTGTATTTTAGGACTTTCGTCCGAATTTTTTTCAAATCGGACTAATTCATATTTGACCGATATTGTAAATTTATACCAGAACTGCAAACATATTGCAATATATTGAAAAAAATATAACAAGCATTAATAGGAAAAGATAATTTTCTAAAAGACATAATAGGTAATAGATTTAATTCATGTATAATGGATATAAATAAGAAAATAATCAAAAAACATATGTGGCTCAAATTTGTTGACAAATGAGTAATTAGCATATTATTATAGCCATTCTATATTTACCATTACCATTACACATATTATTATTCATACATTTAAATAGGTATAACGTATTAATGAAATATAATCCTTCTGTTGTCATTTTGGATATATTATTAACAATTAACAATGTTTGTACACAATAATTGTTGTATAATCTTATTGGGGTAACTAATTTTTGTAATAATTGTTGTAATCTTAAGGCACGTCCGGACGGCAGCTGTTGCGGTGCGGCATGAGTATGATGAATAGATAAATACATTTTCCGAGGCTTTTTTTGATGCCGTGAGGCAAAATTTCCGATCGGCCTAGTAGACGGTCTACATCAAAGGAAAGCCGCCGTCATCTATGCCACCTGCAGTGTGTGGACGTATTTTCGGCAAAGCCGCACGGCATCAGTACTTATATTTTTTAAGTTTTTAAATTATTTTTTAAGTAAGTAGCGGAACAAACTTTTTTCAAATACCACACCGCGTGGACGCGTATATTTGCCGAGAGGCCGTGTCGAGGGTCAAAAACTGGTCCGTCTGGACTAGGTATATGTTTTATATTCTCTCGGGTTCTATTTCGCGCGTTTAGTGCTATTTTTGCCATATCAATACCATATAATTTGTTCGCAAAATGTTACCATATCAGCTCCCATGTTGACAAGACTTAAAATCAATTTAATTTGTCAGTAAGTTATTGCACGATACGTTTACTATATGTAATATGACATTTTAATTTTGTGAATTTAATAATTTGTATTTCTAGACTTGTTGAGATAACGGGGATTCGTTCGTAGTTATTTATAATACTATCTAAATACAATTTCATCAATATATATAAAGTAAATCCCGAGTTATTGAATTATAGACAGATAACAAGGTCCCGCTGCATCACAACAACTCGGACGCACCAAAAATGAGTCTCTAATGCGATTCGGTTGTTATTATTAACTTGTTGTGGTTTTTATAATCTATTTAAATCTGTCGAAGGAAAAAATTTGGTCGTACAAACAGAATCGTCTGCGCAGGAGATTGGGAAAAAACGTCGTCGAAATATAATCGAAAAATTAGACGAAAACGGACGGAAATTCAGAGAAACGTGTTGAAGGATACGCCGCGGCGCACCAGATAAGACTTAAATATTTTGAATCTTTAGTAATATAATGACTGAATACAATCGGGCGGCAGGTACCTGGCCCACCTGTGTTACAATGGGCTTACCGAGAAATCGGCGGCGGCGCACCGTCAGGTCTTTCCGCGGACGGCGAACAACAAAAACGGACACGACAAAACGCGCTCGCCCGGGCCGCCGTCGCCGTCACGTACGTACGTTCGACGCGGCGGCGGACATATTATTTTTTACGCGGAAGCGCGGCGGGTCACGACCACCGAGGCGCCGGTCGCGCCGCGATTGGCCGGCGCGCAGCCCGGCGGGAGTGGTCCGAGTACGCCCGTCACGTCCCGCCGCCGCCGCCCCCGACGCGGCTCGCACACGAATGCCGTCCGCGCGCCACGCTCGACCGCACCTCATCAGTCGTAATCGATCGCGTGTCTAAATAATATTAAGTACACACTTACACGCACGCACACACACACACACACACTCGAACGCGTAATATTAATATTATAATATCAACTACGCTTGCTTACACGTACAACTACAGGTACGTACGACGCACACGCACGCATTCGTCTGTCACACCTCGAAATATAAGTCTGCTGTATTTTTTTTTTTCGTCTTTCTAATAGGTACGCACACAATTAATATTTTTCTAGTATTATAATATTATATTGTACGCTTTCGAAACTCGCGCAGCACACACACTCGACGACCGCGACGACAACGACGACGACGGTTATACGCGAATCGGTTTTACTATAATATTTACGCGACAGGTAGGTTAACCCGATACCGGGTTACGCGACGGTACGTACAATATTAATATTATAATAAACGCATTACCCAAATAACAATACTTACGCGAGTGTACATTTGAGCGTGGACATTATATTATATCCTTCTGCAGTGCCGGTTGCATCAGTTCGTTTTCGCATTGTTCGCGTTTGTTAAGAATAATATCATAATATTGCGTCGGAATAAGCGCATTCACATTTTAATATCGTATAAAAACAATTTAATAATGTTCGTCGCGACTCGCTAAAGATCTCGATCCTACGGGCGACGAGATGCTCGCTTATTGTTCCATCTTTAATTATTGTAATAAAGATACGTCGTCGGTAACTCGCCTCATCCGTCCATAATTTCTAATATCATAATCGTATACGATCTACGACTGGGACCACCTGCAGATGCAATTTTCGCAGTATATAACGATATATAATAGACGGTATCTGCTGCAGGGAATTGCAATATAATATTATTATTTTACAATCGTCGTGTACGATATAATATTATATTATAGAAGACTGTAGCAGGTGACGAAAATGCGGCGGGCTACCTGCACGTGAAAACCCGCTGCAGGCCGACGAAAAATGAACGAATCGGTGACCGTGTGCAGCAGACAACAGGGACCGTCGTATCATCACCACCACGGCCATCACGTAGTAGTCATGCCGGCGCAGTGCAACGGTGACGAGTGCGCGGCAGAACCCCAACCGGCCACCGTGGCCGGTTCGTGGACGGGATACGGCCATCAGCCCGCGGCGGTCGCCGCCGGTTACCATCAACATCACCACCACCATCATCTGCAACAGCAGCAGCAGCAGCAACATCAACAGCAGCAGCAACAGGACCATCACCTCCATCATCCGCATCAGGGAATGCCCACGGTGCCGCCGCCGCCGCCGCAGTCTTTGATGCACCAACACCATCACCATCAGCCGGTGGACGGTGGCGGTTACGCCGCGTGGCCGACGGCGGTCGTGTACAACAAGAGGCGGCCCTCGTACGCGGACGACGTGCAAGCGTACCACCAAGCGCACCACCACGCGCCGCCGCCACCACCGCCGCCCCCACACCATCAACCATCCGGCGCTGCGGCTACCTTGCAGGCCGTTGCGGCCTACAACCCGACGGCCGTGACGGCCTCGACGGCCACGTGCTCGTCGCCCGGCACGTCGTTGGACGAACCGTCGTCCGCGGCCGCTGCGGCGGCTGCTGCTTACCAGACGGCCAACGATTACAAGTACTGGCCACCCGTACAGCAGCAACCGTCGCCAACCGGCACAGGGCGCGTGAGTCCGTACGGTTGGATGAAGAGAGTCGAGTACCAAGACCGTCCACAACCTGGTAAGTAAATTATATCAATAATTAGTATATTTGATATCATTATATTCAGTGGCGTGGTGAACTGAACATTTTCCAGAGGCAAGTTATAAGTAGCCCAAGTGTTAATGCATAAAAATGTATTAATATAATATAATAATATATCAGATCATTATTGACTATACCTATTGAATATATCAAATTACATTTACTAAGTGACCCACTGGCGACCACCCACCCCTTTATTTAAGAAAAATCTCAGAGGCAATTTCCGCTGAAATTACCGTTCACCACGCCACTGATTATATTAGATTATTAAATTAAAGCAAAGTACGGGTTTCCCGCCAAACTCGCTTAACCAACTTTTTCCATTCACTCAACAATATTTTCTATAACATAATATTATATTATTTTGGTAAATTACCACAGATATTATTAGATTGTTAAACGTTCGAATATACCAATTTAGATTTCCCATGCTATATTTAACACATAGGTAATTTAATAATAATTGTTTGTTCGTCGAGTCGTTTATAATAATATAATATTTTATTGACAATATTAAGGACTGTAAAAGTATCTTTATGTGCCGCAGAATTTTAAATTAATTAATAGGATATTAATTGTATTATACAGATAATATTATTAAATATTCAAAAGTTGAAGTTATAGTGCAGTTTTCTAAAATTCTTAAAACTGTAATACAAAATAAACTATTTCTCATAAATTATGTTTTGCTTTAATATTATTTCTTTTAAAAGTACACATATGATTTAAAATAATATTCAGTATATATTTATTTATTCATATTGTTTCTATACTTAGAAATATTAAACTTTGGTTACATAGGTATATATTTGATAGGTATATTATAATATTATCTAAACCAGCTACATAAATATTTAATAATTCTCTTTCTTTGGGCAATGAGTGAGAATTAATGTTCATGATCTCATTTTGTGTAGAAAAATTTGTATGTTATTTTAGAAGTACCTATACCTATTAAAATTTAAAGGGTGTGCATTTTGATAATGATCTTAAATATATAAACAAATACAATAAAGATTTTTAAAATACAAACACTACACTACATATTTTTGAATGTAGAATAAAAGCTACTAATTATACTATAGCTATTAGCTACAAGCCCGGATTAAGGGGGGTCCAGGGGGTACTCGATAGTTTGAATTTATTTAGGGACCTCAGATTTGTCCATTACTTTTTTCGTTATAGGCTATAATACTTACTGCATAAATTACCTAAAAAAAAAATTCAACGATTATTTAGCGAGGAAAAAAGCCCTTGAATTATAATTTATGAATAAAGTGATACATTATTCATTATATTTATTGCTGTGTACCTAATACCTATATATATTTACTTTAACAAGTACATAATATATAAATTATTTTTTTTTGGTACTGGGGTCTTATTAAAACTTTGCCCCTTAGGCCTCAAAATGTCTTAATCCGGGTTTGACTAGCTAAGGTACTATAGATTAATACTTAGTAATAATTTGGTTTTATTTTTATAATTTACACATTAGGACAGTTGTACCTACATTACAATACTGACATTAAAACTTGACAAATCCAAAAGTGTCAATTTTGCTTTGGTTTATTTTGTCGTATTTCAATCTCCATAAATAGTGATATCAGTCTACCTATAATAGCTAGGAGCGTTCTCGTGAATATAGTATACATTTAACGGATTTTGCATTGCACTAAAGTAAATTAAATAAGAAATGTAAGCTCATATAATTAAACAATTAATCAAATTTCGCGATAGGAAATTATTATATATTTTATCACACATACACACTATTTCGCGTTTAAATCGGCGCCTTACAATTAATAATTATACTATAGTCAACCATACCATAAATTATACATATAAAACACTTTTTAGTACTATTTACAGTTAACACTAATATATTATGTGGGATACGGCCTATCATGGGGTAAGGACCAAGGGGTTACTATATTGTATGAAACACATATTATAAAGTAGACAGAGGTGTTTAAGGGTACTATATAGGTAGGTAGGTATTAGTATAGGTATATTTATCTATAATATATTATATTGTACATATTACATTATAACCTATTGAGTGGTGTGTCTAAAGTTGAGTGAAAAATTCTCGGCACGTCGTGTTTAAATAAATTTGTATACCTACAACTTTGTGAATTCTACGTAACTATTTACTATATACCTATACTTACTACTACCTAGGTATATTACAGGTGTGTGCGAGTCGTCGTGACTTGACATAAGTATACTCATGCATATTAATACGCTCACGAGATAATATTAAAAAATAATAGTTATTGTAAACGAGTGTTGCGCGTGCAGATCGTATGTGTACCTCGTGCATAATAGGTAAATATACAGTTTAGTATATCTATTCGTTTTGGGGGTAAAAAACAATATTTTGTTGTTCAAAACAATTTTATTCTGTTTGAAAACGATGTTTTCAACGACATTTATTTTATTTTTGGTTTAAGGTATTTTGCCATTAAAAATAATGTAAAACAGAATTGCTCCCATAGGTATTTATTCTTATTATTATACGAAAAAACATATTAATTATTAAAAAAACTATAATGTATACATTTTAAATTATTGTTATCTTTCTTGCCTATATTAATGGACTTTTTATGACTTCAAATGACGCACTAAAGTATGATATTATGTTCTACTGTTTTTGAAAATACTTGGATTTTATAGAGATATTAGTATTCTTAGTATGGTTTTTTTTTGAGACATAAATAGAGTAGGTACTATAATAATACCATTATAATACATTATGTACATGTAATAAGTAAAAAGAATGCAATTTTGAAAATGTCGTGAATACGATCTTTAAACAATCCTACAATTGCATTAGTCATTAATCAAATTGTAATGGAATTGTATTGAAATTTTAGTAGATAATCAACGGAGATCTGTACATAATTTATCACCAATTGAGTATGTTTGATTTGCATGATCTAATATTATTTCCGTTTAATGAGAGAACCAAAAAAAAAATTATTTTAATCACAAAAATATCGTCTGTATGTTAATATTTCATACTATTTTAAACATATATTTCAAAGGTAGGTGAAGAGCTAGGAGGGAACTACAGTTATGTATGTAGCTGTGCATTTTTAATTTTTATACTAGTAATCAGAATATTCTAATTTCTCGATTGTCGACAGAAAGACGTGTTTTCTAGTCTTTTATACTGAAATGTCAGCTACTCAGCTGATATTGGCATTTACATGCATTTATTAAATATAAATTGTTTTCGATCAGAAAATGTACAAGTGCCTACAACTGCAGCCTGCAAGTATAAATTATAAATTTAGACGTATAAATGTATAATATTATTGATAGTATACTTATTATATTGATATCAACCCCCTCCGAGAAAAGAGACCGTATGGCGTCCATAATATATTTTATTGCTTTTTTTTTATTTATTATAATTATAAAATGTTTCAGCACACCTGATGCTATTACAAACGTATTATGTTTTAGGTACATTAAATACATAGATTAATAACGATATTGATAATAATGCGTGTTAGCGGAAAATTGTATTGTATTAAAAATGAAAATACCTATATAGGCTATATATACGCCATACATCACAATTTATTATTAAAACATTTATTTTGTTTTTATATACACACTACAATAATAAACTTACCTATACATTACAACATTCGAACAAATTTATTGCATTATATATTGTTATTACTTTTTTGGGTACAACATTTTCATTGCCTATTTAAAAGTTAACCATCACAAGTTAATAATTCATAGTGAACCATTGAGCATATTACAATGTTCCGTTAATTTTGTTTAAATACTAACTATATGAAAATTACAATAAACAATGTGTGATGTGTTTTATTTACTGTAAAAACCTATAATTTAACTATTACACTATATAATTACACTATACTATTATTTAAGCTATTTGGGGTTCGTCCCGTTTTACTAAAATAATTTAATAATGCAAAATTAAATGATTTTATTATAATATATATCGTCTTGTGGTTTCTTTATTTGGTAAATATTGTATTATTATATATAATAATATGCTAATATCTATGTAAATTGTTATCAACATTTAAAAAAAAAATGTACCTATAAATGTATACTATATTGTATACAGTATTAAATAAATAGTTTCTTGCTAGATAAATCTCTGATCGCGTTTAGCAGTGAATCAACTTAAAATACAATATTAATTAACTAGGTAGTCTTTTTAGTCATTTTAAGTAACCATCCACCAAACAATGCATAACAAATTATTATTTTTTATATTACATCTATTTAAACAATACTGTTAGATGAATGATTATAATTATTTATAACTTATTATAATGTTTAGGATTTTCGTTTCCTAATATATTATTTTGCTTTTGTATCTATTTATATATATATATATATAGAATATGTAGGTAAAATTAATTTTATCAATTGATTCCAGTTATTCTATTATTACATTTTGAATATACCCACTGCAGATTTGTACTATATAATTGTACCTGCAGGTCATGATATACTTATAATGATTAATTATGTGGACAGCGATCCTCTACTATTAGATGTTTGGGTCATATAAGCTGTTCTTTTTTTGGTGTATAACAAAATATTATAAGGGCTACAACTCATTTGAGCACATTTACCTTTTTTACTGGCCATTTACGCACAAAAATACAACTCATTTGCTCACAAATTTACGAATAATAGAAACCTTTTTTCAAAGAAATTTATCCACGTATAGAGTGTACCTAACCTGCGTTTCTCTAAATTTTCAATTTGGTCATTACTGATGGTGGAAAATGATTATATTATACCTACTCATACAGCACTTTATTTAGTCTAGCTTAGTACTTTCTGTTTAATCATATTCTGGTGTCATAGACTGCTGGTTAAAAATTGTTTCATGAGCTGTTTAATATTAATATTTATTTGATGTACAGATATTCTGTTGAAATGCATTATTACGAATTAAAGAAATATTACGC